AAGGAACTATTACAGAACAAGTTTTTCAATAAAACCAGAACATTAATATTCGAGTGCATGGATTAATACATCTGAACTCATGCAGTAGGAACTATGAAATATGAAATGCTAGAACCAGACACATTATGTATATGTTTTAAATTTTAATTTGAGTAAACTGATTTATTTCTTAACGTTCTTGGCATTTTCCCACACAAAGTTAAACAAAACAATGTTGATTAAGGAGAGAGAGAGAGAGAGAGAGAGAGAGAGAGAGAGAGAGAGAGTGAGAGAGAGAGAGAGAGAGAGAGAGAGAGAGAGAGATTAAAAAAATAAAAAACCCGACCGGAGCGGAGGTAGTGACTAACCATTGTGACTAACACAGCACGTCAGCTCTGTCTTGTCAAATGCACCATGTAAGTTACGAAAAAAGTAACTTTAAATATTCAACCGAAAAAGAGGCGAGCTGAAGAAAACCTAGGGACTACTGAAGAAGCGTGTGCAACAGTGAAGCAATCATAGCGAGATCTGTTACTGTCTGTGTGTGTGCGTGGATGAACAGGACGGACTGCGCTCCCGGCCGGCTGCAGTTTTGTGTGTAGGGAGGGGCGGGCGCTCTATGTGACTGGCCAATCACAGAGCGTGAAGACAGTCAGTTACCCAATGAGGATTTTCCTTCAGCACGATTACAGATATTTACAAGGTTTACTCGTTTCATGCTCGTATTCGTCAAAAATGCTTTATCCGTACCGGATACTCGTCTGAAACGAGTATCTGGCTCATCCCTACTCCAGACTGTCAGAAACTAGATTCCCTACCCTATTCAGGGTTCATGGTTAAAACTCTGTTCTTTTCTTTTGCTGAGACAGTCTTTTCTTATCTAAAGGTTTTATATTATGACGAGTTCATGTTGTTTGAATTTATTCAGTCCTGGGGTGATATATGTTAACCTTTTCTTTTCTGTGGGCGGTGTTTACATGTTTTGTTTTGACCCTAAGTCTTTAAACAATTAAGGACATCCTGACTAGTGATTTTGTTTTCGTTTCTTAGTTTTCCTGCCATAAGCAGACTTCTTACCCAGTTGAGATTTATGGACAAAAATTATTTGAACTGCTGCTTCAAAAAGGTGTTCGGACCTTTCATATCTCTAGAAACTTCCTGTTAACTGAGTCTTGTCAACCATTGATGGGTTATTTAAATTACTGGTGTATGTTAGTTTAATATATCATGGAACCTAAGTTAATGATTGTATTTTGATGTGGTTTAATGATAAAACTGAGCCATATTTCTAGCTCACTAATGTGTTACCTTACTCGGGTCTTTTGATATGACATTGTGTTTAATTTTATTATTTTATCTTTTGCTGTTCAAACAATTACGTTAGGGGGAACACAGTGCTAGGTTTTTGTTTGTATTTCATGGTCCTTTTTATCGTCACTGCAGATGCAGCACCAATTCGCTTATTGATCTCACACTCTGTCTTCCCCTCACTCGTGAACAAGATCCCAAAATACTCAGACTTCTCCACTTGGGGCAGGACTTTGTCCCTGACCAAAAGAAGGCATTCTACCTTTTTCCAACTCAAGACCATGGTCTTCTCATCCCAGCTGCTTCACACTCGGCTGCAAACCACTCCAGTGAAAGCTGGAGATCACGTTCTGATGAATGCAACAGGACCACATCATCTGCAAAAATGCAGTTTTTGTTTTTAGTTAACTCTTACATGGAGTTTAAATCTTTTTTGTTGAAGACTGTACAAGCACTCGGGACATCGGTGATCAGAGGTGGTGGTGCTGCTACAATGTGATACATTTCTAAATATTAAGTTTGTATCACTAATATTTAATTTTTTTCAATTTAGTCAGAAACACGCAGTGATGAAGATAAACAAAAGTAAGTTTTGACTTTTGCTGTCAATTTTAGCCTAATCAATGACAAGTGTTTAAGATTCTGTGACTGTCTTGAGTTAGCATTTGAAAGGTCTGGACCCAGCTCTGTTGCATATTAATGCAACTTTCTGTTTTTCACTCGTAGCCCAACATTTGGAGAGAAGTTTTATTTAGTCGGTCATCTTTACTCAACATATTTCGCTGTTAATCAGCCAATGTTGGATACAGATAATAGGGCTTTAATTTTAGCACCCCTTGCAACCTCTAAGAACACTGCTAACAGGTGCAGAAAATATGCTAATGTAGACATCCTTCAGCTGTGTTATTCTACATAAAATACAACATAATTAGAACAACTATTAATTTGATTTTATTAGCTAGAATGCATTTATCTGAAATGTCCAACGTTTCTAATTCTGTAGCGTCAAAATGTTTTGCAGATCTGTTGTGATTTGCTTTTGAGTCTTATCAGGACAGTAAAGTTGCTGCAGAGTTATTTCCACAATTTTTCACTCAGTGTCACAATGCACAGAAAATCTGTATTATCATATAAAGAGAATGCAGTGAGGAACACAATAGCAGAAACACACCACACACAAACCGATTCAACTGATGGAGTCCCAGGTTAGCTGGGAAACCTCAAAAATTCTCAGCTTCTTTCAAAGCTCCTTAGTCTCTCAAGATCAAACGTAATTAAGGAGTAAATAAACATAGCGGATGAGCATGAGGAATTTGATTCCATTCAAGCAACAATTCAAAGGTCCAACCCCTTTCTTCAGACTTCCCCCTGGAGTCACAGAATCTGGCAGTGGCAAAAAATGGTACAACACCAGCTTACATCAAAAACACGCATGAGATAACACACAGCCCTGCTTAGCTGCTAAGGTAAAACATTTCCAGAATCAACACTGAACCAAACTTCTTTCCACTCAGACTCACCCTGATTCTGCCAACAGAACGGTTCTCAAAACAGTTCATATGTAGTGTTTGCACAGACTTTAGTGCTGCGCCTGCCAAAATCATAGATGGGCGAGTCTCTCAGGCAGGACGTTTCTGAACATGCTGCAGATTTGTATCTTTTTAACAGTGGGTATTGTAGTTACCTCAGACATGTCTTTAGTATACACATTTATTTAATTAAAGAAACATTTCTCTCTGCTCAAAGGAACCCCCAGTATGCTGAGAGTCCATTTAAATAATGTAATAAAGGTAGAAACAGAATATTCTCTCTGGCTCACCCTGGGTGTGTAAGTTGAGGGCTTCCTGCTCCTGGATGAAAACCCAAACATTTTCATCAATATAGGAAATACCCCCAGATGCCCCAGACAGGGAGTGAAAGGTGAACTTGTCCAGGAAAAAGAGGATGTACGGCCACCCTACGTTAAACAGAGCATGTTTAAAAGTTTTACTTCCTGTTCAGCTGCTTGGCCAAGAACCAGAACTTGGTGCACAGAGGGTTTTGTCCAGTGGAGGGAGTAATGTTCAGAGGAAAGGTTTGATGGATGGGTTATGATCCAATCATACAGCTAGGGGACCAGCACTGGATTGGATGAGGATTGTAAGTTTCAGAGGCCATTAAAATTATTTATTATTTTTGACAAAACATTTAATTTGTTGGCTGCCATCTGTATATGAAGAGCATTTCAAGCAATATGGCTAAATATGTTATGGGAAAAAAAATCTCAGACGGTACCTTTAACTCACTCACTGCCACTGACGACAAAAGTCGTCATTTTAAATTCAACCGTTCAATGCAAATGACGACAAAAGTCGTCATTTACGTTTTTTTTTTTTTTTTTTTTTTTTTTTTACTGTATGGGCATCGGAACAAGCACCCGCACCGTGAGAACAAACATCTCAGCTCTAAAGCCGTTCTTCATCCACATATGTCACGTGATCAGAAAGCAAAAAATCCATGTGTTAGGAGATTGTTTTGGGCCTCTGCTGTAAAAAAAAAAGTGAGGTGCAAACCGGAAAAGCTTCTGCCGATCACAATTCAACAACGGATTATGGAAGAACGGATAACGCTCGAAATGCGCAGATTCTTCCTGATTTAAGGGATGAGTCTCTGTTTTTTTTTTTTGTCGTTGTTTTGGCGTCAACATCATCCTAGCGTGCAACGTTCTGTGACTTAAAAAACTGTAAAAATGGTGAGAAACGCTGGCAGCGAAGTGCTTTACCGATCAGGAAACGGCTGGCAGTGAAGGAGTTAATATTTCTGATATTCTAAACACACGTTTCATGGTTTGAAAAGCAGGTCCTAATTCCTGCAGAACTGATCAACGTGCCCTTTAATTTTTGAGGGACTGAAAACAACTAACATCATTTTCACAGTTGTTCTGGAAATCTGAACACATCATAGTTAGTAATTTAATTACTTCAGTGAGATTCTGCAGGTAGATTAGTTTGATTTTAGATCCATGTTTGTGCATACAAATATATTTTCAGTCAAATTTTGATTATGAATTTTTCTAATATAAACCGTTACTAGCAAGTTGTGACTGAGTGAAACACAAAATGCATCCTAAAAAAGACTAAGCTTGAAATATTAAGCATATATCATGAAGGCTGATTGCCTTTCTACCATTTCTGTGATGCTGAAAATTGTTCAAATTCCACTGTAATGATGATAAGTAAAGAAAGAGTTGTGTAATCACTGTCAAACATGCTGCTTTTCCACTTGGGAAATGCTACAAGATGAAAGTAATCTGTCACTTGACTTAGACCCCTACTGAGTTTTTAATTGTCCAATCAAGGAGTTCTCAATACAATCATAACAACTTAGAACTGAAACTGGCTCATTTTTAGTTCAAATGAATAATATGAAGTTCGTGTGCATTTAAAAGGCTCAAACAATGCAATTACATTAAGAACACTAGCAAGAAATATGATCACAAATATGAACAGACAGAAATCGCAGCTCACCAATGCAAGAGATGCAGAGAAAAAAAAATCCCAATGTATAAAGAAAAAAGGCACGAAAGATTATTAGTAAGAATTTAAAACTAATTAGGGAAAAATGAGGAAAGGGCTGTGTTTGCTGGTTGCATGATTCGAGTGTGTGTGTGTGTGTGTGTGTGTGTGTGTGTGAGTGTGTGTGTGTGTGTGTGTGTGTGTGTGTAATTTTCCTACCTTGACCTGTCCAACGTAGGCGTGACTTTGCTCCTCAATGACAGTCAGGTTCACTGTGAGTGATGGGTCAAATGTGGGATCGTTGTCATTAACGTCCGTGACAACAATGTTCACCATTGCAGTGGATGTCTACACACAGTGGTACAGAAAAATATGTGTGTTGATTTTTAGTCTGAGAAATTATTTTTAAATTGAACTAAAAATAAAAGTCCTCAAGTGGAAATTGTCAGAGGGTTACATGCTCACTGTATTTTTTCCTTTTGCCCACTCTGCACAAGAGTAAAAGACCACATTATTAGATAATTCATTAACATTTTTACATAAATGTCACGATGTGGAAGTGAGTGAGATCCAAATGTAGGTGAGTAAGAGCACACTGGAGGCAGCCGTAGGAGAAAAAACATAAAAAGTATTTAACTCAACAACAGGAGAACCAAGGACATAAACGGGTTCAACAGCAGGCGATCAAACAACTAACACAAAAGCAAAAAAGGTGTAAATACACAGGGAGCAGGTAATCAGAAAACAAGAGACAGGTGCAAACAATGAACTAATCAGACAAAGGAAACACAGGAGCAGGGAATGGATCGTGACAATAAATTCCCCAAAAATTCTTGCTTTAAGATGTTCTCAATATTTCCTGAAACTTTCATTTTCATATATTTTGGAGTGAGATAAAAATTCATGACAGTTTGAGATAATTCAGTTCTGGATTTGGTTCTTCCTGGTTTCACATGAATGTGAGCTTGATTGGGCCCAATTTTCCATGCAAGCAGCTCTTAGATGTATTTTCCATGAACTTTCCAGATGTATTTGGGAGTAATTTATTGCCTACTTTCCTTGATTTTTGCTTCAGTTATGTGTGTCTGTAAATGTTTAAGTTCGATCTGCATGTATGTTCTTATTAAAGGACGTCCACAGAATAATCCATTGGATTGCGGTCCGGACTTTGAGGTGGTCAGTCGTCCTTGTTGTAACAATGATCCTGCATAACATCCTGGAAGTGTTGTGCGCTGCAGCTTTTCTGATCATGTAAATTGCAGAAGTAAAAAAAAAAAAGCCCCTTAAAATCATGGATCCAAATAGACCATTTATTCAAATGAAATCAGGAAGGACTAGATCCAAAACCACATGTTTAGAGGCTCATTTATCAAACCACACTGGATATATAAAGAAACCTTACATGCTGAAACAAGAGAACTGTCATAGATCAAATCAAAGGGCTTTTGAACTAGCGATGTTAAAGTTGAATCTTTTTTTTCTTTGTCAACAGAAAAAGTTCAATGCATTTGCGGTCTATTCTTTTGTGTTTGTAACACTGGTGACGTTTGAAATGCTGCACATAACTGTCCTTGTTCAGCAGACAGAGGAAGTTTTAGAAAAGCATGCTCAAGGTGGCCATTGGGGTTTCACAAAAGCAAAAATGTCACTGAATGTTCTGGAGGAATGTGGAAGAAAGCCTCCAGGATTATTGGCTGTAGGTTTGAGTGACGCTCTCTGCAGCAGGGAGCTTTTAACTTAGTTTGGAGCTGAAAGAAATAATATTCTACCAATGCACTTCATTGGTGTCACACAAGCTACTGGTGTCGTCGTCTTCCTCCGTTTATCCGGGTCTGGGTGGCGGGGGCAGCATCCCATCTAGGGCGCTCCAGACCGCCCGCTCCCTGGCCACCTCCACCAGCTCCTCCGGCAGGACCCAAAGGCGTTCCCGGACCAGATTGGAGATGTAACCTATCCAACGTGTCCTGGGTCGATCCGGGGGCCTCCTGCCGGCAGGACATGCCGAAACACCTCCCCAGGAAGGCGTCCAGGAGGCATCCTGACTAGATGCCCAAACCACCTCAACTGACTCCTTTCGATCCGGAGGAGCAGCAGTTCTACTCCGAGTCCCTCCCGAATGTCCAAGCTCCTCACCCTATCTCTAAGGCTGAGCCCGGCCACCCTACGGAGGAAACTCATTTTGGCCGCTTGTATCCGCGATCTTGTTCTTACGGTCATTACCCAAAGCTCATGACCATAGGTGAGGATTGGGACGTAGATCGACCGGTAAATCGAGAGCCTGGCTTTCTGGCTCAGCTCCCTCTTCACCACGACAGATCGGCTCAGCGTCTGCAGCGTCCGCATCACTGCAGGCGCTGAACCAATCTGCCTGTTGATCTCCCGATCCCTCCTACCCTCACTCATGAACAAGACCCCGAGATACTTTAACTCCTCCACTTGAGGTAGGACCTCTCTCCCGACCCGGAGTTGGCAAGCCACCCTTTTCCGGTCGAGAACCATGGTCTCAGATTTGGAGGTGCTGATCCTCATCCCACACTCTTCTTCACACTCGGCCAAAGAACCTACCCAGCAAGAACTGAAGGTCAGAGCTGGATGAAGCTAGGAGGACCACATCATCCGCAAAAAGCAGAGATGAGTATCTCCTGCCACCAAACTTGACACACTCAAAACCACGGCTGCGCCTAGAAATTCTGTCCATAAAGGTAATGAACAGAACCGGTGACAAAGGGCAGCCCTGGTGGAGTCCAACCCTCACCGGGAACAGGTCCGACTTACTACCGGCTATGCGTACCAAACTCGCTCCTCTGGTAAAGGAACCGAATGGCCCTTAACAGAAATCCACCCACCCCTTACTCCTGGAGCGGTCCCCACAGGGTGCCCCTGGGGACATGGTCATAAGCCTTCTCCAAATCCACAAAACACATGTGGATGGTTGGGCAAACTCCCATGCCCCCTCCATCACCCTTGCAAGGGTATAAAGCTGGTCGACAGTTCAACGGCCAGGACGAAAACCACATTGCTCCTCCTCAATCTGAGATTCGACTATCGATCGGACCCTCCTCTCCAGTACCTTGGAGTAGACCTTTCCAGGGAGGCTGAGGAGTGTGATCCACCTATAACTGGTACACACCCTCCGGTCACCCTTCGTAAAGATGGGGACCACCACCCCGGTCTGCCACTCCACAGGAACTGCCCCCAATGACCACTCAATGTTGCAGAGACGTGTCTACCACGACAGCCCTACAACATCCATACCCTTGAGATACCCATGACGAATCTCATCCACCCCCGGGCCTCCACCGCTGTGTAGTTGTTTGACTACCTCAGCAACTTCTGCCCCCGAGATTGGACAGTCCATCCCCAGGTCTCCTGGCTCTAGTTCCTCCTTTCACCTTCATTTGTTTTGGACTGCCCACCTAACGAGAAGCCTCTACAGTAACAGAGCTAACATGTTTTTGTTTTTACAAATTAGCCACTTAGGAGGAAAAAACCTGATATTTTTATTGCATCATCTCTTAGAATAATTGTAAACTTTCTCATTCTTTAAAACACGAGTGATCGTTCATTTGTGGGTAATTTAAACCAAATGTTTTACAAACTACCAGCTGGATCTAAACCAAAGTTCTGAGAAGAGTATTAGTTTGACACAAACAGCTGATTAACTTTTAAACACAAATTGATTCAAGATAGCAGTTACATCACACATAAACCCTCCTTCATGGGCCTTTTGGTATTTTGAAGCATTCAACAGACAGTACCAGTGGTAAAACCCTTACATTGTGCATGTCAGATATGAGCAGCTTCCCTATTGTCCAAACGTTGTTAAATGTGATATTAATCAATTAAAATCACCAGCTCTATCACCATGTTGTACTCAAAGGTGATTCATTGACCGATGACAGAACATTTGCCAATAGCATTGTGTCCTGTACCTAAGTTTAAATTGTGTCCTACAGTGAGAAGCGTCTTTTCGATGAAGCGGGTCTGCAGCACCAACTGGTACAGACCTTATTCTGTGGCAGTATGATGGATTCACCGGCCAAATAGCCAATTAGTAGTCTTACACTCTCACAACAGGACATTTAATAATTTGGCACACAAGTGTGTGTGTGTGTGTGTGTGTGTGTGTGTGTGTGCATTTGAATATGGATGAGGGCATCAGGAAAAGCAGAAGTAAACTTTTAAATGTCTCTTTCACCCCATTTCTGTCCTTCACATTGTAAATGAAATTATGTGAAAATCGAGGTCATAGTTAATATGATGGTTCTCTCTCACTCTGTCTCACTCTTTCTCTCTGAGTTTTAAAAGAAAAGTGAGCAACACAAGAAGGTACTGAGACGCTGACATTGGTGACCTGTCCTGACTTAGGTGAAAGCATGCTAAAATAAAAATCTAAATGTAAATATTTTGTCGCCCTTTTAGACATTTGCAAAAGATGAAGAGATAAACCTGTCACCACCTGTCAAGGTTTGTGAGAATTTAAGTCTGTTTCACTTGACCTGATGCACTAAACCTGATTAGGCCATATCTATCTTTGTTTTAGGTACACCTTTTTAAACCCAACAATTATCTGGGTTCCCAAAGAACACTTTCACAAAACAGCAGGAAACAGACATTTCTAATAACTGGAAGATGAAATTAAAAAAGATTTCATCAGTTGTTAAGCCAGTCGTTGATGGAAATAACACATGATCAGCAAGTTACATAGTAAATGATTTACAAGTGGCAGCAGCATATAGCTCCCTGAACTCACTGCTCCGCTTGCCCCCACTATCATCATAGCAGGCTTTTATTACTCTTTTTATAAGGCTCAAAGAATGGTTAGGAAGAACCAAGATTTCTAGGATATCACGTGAAAAGGAAGTTTAGCATGAGAAGAAAGAAGCTGAAGAGTTGATGAATAAAGGAAATGAAAGACAGCAGTTGAAAGAAATGGAGACAGCGGTCAGGAAAGGCTGAGGATCAGTAGAAACAAAGTTAACATAGCCAAAGGGAGAAAAAAAAGGAGAAAGGCAGCTTGTCCAGATGACAGATTAACAGAAACATACGGTGCCTCGTGATTTCTTGAGAGGCGCTATAGAAATTATATTTTCTTCTTCTTCTTCTTCTTCTTCTTCTACGGATGAGGAAGAGGGATGGGGTGGACTGTTTAACGCAATCCTGAAAAGAAAGGATTTGTCTGAGAAGTGATGAGCTCTTGCAGAGACCTTTAGGAATAATCGTCATCATCGTCTTCCTCCGCTTATCCGGGTCCGGGGGCAGCATCCCAACTAGGGAGCTCCAGACCGTCCTCTCCCCAGCCACCTCCACCAGCTCCTCCGGCAGGACCCCAAGGCCTTCCCGGACCA